TCTCCGGCGCCTGTATGGTATGCTAGTTGGGTTCTGTTGGCGGTCATTGACGCGGATTGATCGAGTGAGATAACGGCTGCAACTGAGCACATAACGACCGATCAGCCCGGCTATCGAGAGCGATAACGACAGATCAACGGCGGTGATTCGGAATAACAACAGAACGGCAGTAATAACGCGAAGCCGCATGTCAACAGCGGCTATTGATCACCTCATGACGGTTATAGTCACATTACTGGAAAATAATTGTTATTGGTAACACAAGCTGAAATCTAGGGGAACAATTCATTTATAAAAAACACGACTAGTCCAGGAGGAATCCTTCCCACACATCACACTCTTTTTCTACACAAATCTCTCTCTCTCTCTCTCTCTCTCTCTCTCTCTCTCTCTCTCTCTCTCTCTCTCTCTCTCTCTCTCTCTCTCTCTCTCTCTCTCTCTCTCTCTCTCTCTCTCTCTCTCTCTCTCTCTCTCTATCTATCTCTCTCTCTCCCTCTCTCTCTCTCTCTCTCTCTCTCTCTCTCTCTCTCTCTCTCTCTCTCTCGCCTGCTCCTTCTCCTCCGATCCATTCACACCCTTGGTCTTCACCTAGCCTTCTCACGCCACCTTCAGCTGGCGTCCCTCTGCTGCCCGGCGGCGGTTCCGATCTCACCTAATCCAGCGGCAAGGCGGCGAGAGAGGGGGAGACCGACACACCGCGGAGGGAGGGAGGGGTGACCGCAGACCAGAGAGGGGCACGTGATTAGCACAACCCCGGCCAGTGTTTGCGCGGCGGCGGCGGCGGCGGCGGCCCGAGAGCACCTGCAGGGCGGGGGCGGGGGCGGCAGGATGTCGCCGCCCGCCCGCCGCCCGGACGCCGCCGTTTCCTGGCGGATCGGAAGTCGCCGACGCCAGCGGCCGTCGCCCGCTGACAGAGGAACGTTTTTAAGGGCTTGCACACCTGTGGCGCCCCTGTGAGTGCACCGTGGAACGTTGTTTAGTTATTTGAGGGCCGGTGGCTATCATAGCGAGCACCTGTCCTCTGATTTACTGCCAACAAAACTCGTTGCCGTGCCTCAAAATTACAGCGGAATTCGTGCTAATAAATCTGGCAGTAAAAGCCCACTAATACCGGGGAGTTACAAACACTGAATACTTAATCCTCTATTGATTTCCGCTCACATCCTTCCGATTTAGCTACGCCCGGCTGGTGGCGGTCGATTCCCACGGGGGTGTGTTTCTCGGTTCGGGCAAGTTCAGCCCACCCGACCTCTACCGCTCCCCGCCGTGTAGGGAGGGGTGGGGGCACGCTCTGCGGCCGGTGCGGGGGCGGGGGGCGGGGGCGGCGCCAGTTCCGGCGGACGCAGGGCGGGGCGGGAGACGCCCTGTGTCCGGTCGGCACGCGGCGCCACCGCACCCATACCGGCTGACACCGGCGCACTGCGGTATACCGACCGCCGCGCCCCGGGCGACAGACTGACGGACGGACGGACGGCGGGATCAGGATCGGTATCTCCCTCAGCTGCCGCCCCCTTCGCCACAGTGCCACGTGACTGAGGCCGGTGGTGATTCAAATGTGAACTGAAACAGAACGTGGTGCGATATTCGGGGATTCCTAATGAGACATAAGGCCTCATAATGCCTTGTAGTTGCCCACCGGTGGACATTAAAGTGGAAAGAACTCCGCTTGGAGTCCTTGAAAAGGTTGTAGGGTATAGATTTCGAAGCTGATTTTGCGTTGTCGTTACGCTGATGTGACTTGAATGAAGTGATAATAGCACGTAATATACCTTATTAGTTATTGTTAGGATAAACATGTGTTTTCTTGCAAACTGTGAACCATTTAATCACACAATAGCTTAGAAAAGACCGTAATCAGCCCATGAGTTGAAATTTTTTATCTTACATTACAATATTTTATCTGTAAAGTACATTTTTCCATTTGGTGGCAAGAGTTGAATGTCTTACATACTTTTCCGTCGAAGTTGGAGTTCACTTCGTGCACTTTACCTACTCTCAGCGCAATCTCTGATTAGCATAACACCGCTCGCCAAACATGCATAAGCAAAGTTCTGTGACCTCTGACCTGTGACCGACGGTGGACTGTCGTTAGCGAGCGGACGTTACACACGCGGGCGTTAGCCGGGCCCGCGAGCTCGTCCTGTTTTTCTCCGCTCGCCGCCGCCGGTGTTAGCTTCCTGGCCGGGCGCTGCAGTCACCAAGGTGTTCCGGTGCTAGCGCCTTTGCGCCGTTGCAGTCGCCGCCAGGTTTCCGCCGGTGAGCTGTATAGGTGTGCTCGGCCAATCAGGCAGCTGGTGCGATACCGCCGGCCGCCTCCACCAGCGCTGTTTGACCTCTGAGAACGGCGGATACAGTGCCGGCGCCTTCTGATGTGGACAGTGTTTATTATTGTATTCGAACATACGCGTAAACAATGCTATCGGGCGGTGGAAGTAAAATTCAAGTGTCGCAAACGACGAAAGATAACATGGGGTCGCGTTCATTGATGAATGAAGAATTAAGTAATACGACTGTGATCTAAAATATGTAAAGGTGGAGGAGAGCCGAAACAATAAATGAATGTTTTTCCTTCGCAATTTCCTTTTCCCTCCTAGTTTCCTTCACAGTACTATCAAACCGACAGACGTATCCTATAGGTAACTTACTATTTACTCCTCGGGCAGCGTAAAAAAGAACTTTGTCGTTGTCTTCTCTACTATTGATAAAAGTGAACAACTTTAATTGGCAATAGATTGCATAAGCTGCACAACACCTTAAAAAAGGTAAATATGCACCTACAAAGCTGCGAAACTTAATCGACATGAAATGTATTTTCAATCTAGAACTGCAACTATACTTACCTGTGAATACTTTTACCCATACTCGTGAATCAGATGTATCTTGCATGGGATATCCATAGGACGGCACATCACGAACACGCCATAGGGCCTCATTTTCATCGTCATCCCGTTTTGTTTGTTGCTATATACATATTTTTGCATTCCTTTTGGCCTCAATGTAGGATAGGTAGGTGCTCCTGATGCTGCTTGGTGACGCTTTGTTAGCTTTATGATATGGCCTGAATCGCAAGCCTGCATCGATTTATCCCTGCTGCACATATTGAATACATGCAGCGCATTTTCCATGTAAACGACAGCCACTGACCCGTAAATATTTCTGCATTCCAGTAAAACCTTTGAACACTGTACATTATCGATTGAAGCCGTATGATAACCTGACACAAAACAGAACTTCAGTCAAAGGCTCTGGCGAGAACATGATAAATACTCAGCCTTAGCTGGCTAAGCGGCTCTGTTACGCCAGAGTGTTTGTGATGAGATGATGTGTCTCTTGAAACTTGGGCCACTTAGAAGCTATGGTGGTGTACATAAGGATGATATAATAAAAGAATGTGAAATTAGCTAAAAGATAGACCCAGTCCACCATCGAAGCCTGACCTCGAGTCAAACACTTAGAGATTGACGGAGTCTTTTTAGGAAATCCAAAGTTCTTTCACACGTGTCTGACAAAGCCTGCTGGTTGAGCCTCACGAATCCCGCCACACGTGTCTGCCAGAGTCCTCTTTTGCAGTCTGGCCTACTCCGCCGTCAGACTCGACCCGTCGACTCGAGCTGCACGAGCCGACGGTCGCTCTCCCTCCCCCCTCCCCTCACCCGACGCTCGGCCGGCACCCCGATAGACGCGAGATCAGCGGCTTCGTTCAGCTCATCAGCTCGGTAACTGGCTCCGGACAGCGGCGCCCTACACTGCTGCTCGCCTGCAGCGCAACCGCTCCGCTGGAAAAATAACCAACAACTCGCTCCGCCGAGGATAGATCGTTGATATCGAAAAAACTTACATTTTAGAGGTGAGGTCAATGTCTACTACCTTAAAACGGCATGAATAATGAATATGTTTTGATGCATGTGTTTTTGCAGCTTTTCAACGTGTAGGTATAAGAAAGCTCTTCAGCTGAAGAAGTCGACATACATCGATTTTTTTTCACGCCTCAAGCAGACAAACTGCTCAGCCGGTCCTTCGGGCTCGCTCGGGGTCACAAGTCACAACTGATGGCCGTACTTGCTGTGCAACCGCAACTCAGTTGTCTTACTGAGTCACAGTCAAACAGACATAAATTGTGGTGAGATATAGGTGTAGCTGTCTGCTAGGTGTGAGCTAAAACTGTGAGATAAATAGCAGGTGATCCCGGAAAGGGAAAGGCTTTCCGCTCTCGTATCTCCTCCTTTGATATGATAATGATGCGATTGCAGCGAGGTTACACAAACAAAAGCAGCTACCTAAATTAATGATAATTTCTACAATTGGCCTTATTCGGCTTGAATCGAAGTCTATGTTTTACATACTCTGGCGGTCAGCGAAAATTCCTGTGCTCCTACACTTCCATCAAGCCTGCAGCATATACCTAACATTTTTTCCGCAACTTTTATTGCGAAATTCTGAAAAGTTTGTATCACGTCATCTCATGCAATTTGTTAAAATGAATCTTATGGTGCATGTTCTACAGCATCAGTTTAGGTCACCAAAAGTTCAAATAGCAAACAGCAACCGAAATCAAATGGGCTGGTCTGCACAAGTGTGGCTATGCCTTCCGTAGAAGGGTTTTGTCAGTGATTTCTTTAAAAAAGAAGCAATGCTGTAAGATATCGCTGGTCGCTGCAACATTTCCAATTTAATCTTCGAACTTCCCAAACGGATGAAGTGCATGGACACGACAGCTACATCGTTCACCCCCAGGTCATACAGAACGGATGTTCTGACTGTCATCATTTGACAACGGTAATGTCGCTATTCTGCCGCGCACCTCGTAAATCCTCAGGTAGCACCCAGTCAGGCAGACATCCCGATCGCGATGGGGCGGCCGGCGAGCGCCCCCGCCGGCCGTGGGAGCGAGTCGGCCGGGAGCCAATCAGCGCTCTCCGCCGGGCGCGCGCCCTCCCCCTCCCCCTCCCCCGTGTCGGCGGCAGCAGCGCGCGGGTTGTGCCGCGCGCCGGCAGTGATCGGCAGGACAGTGCGCGGGAGGGACGTTAACTGTGGGAGAGTGAGGCCCCTGAGACATGGTGTGAGGTGATCGGTACGGGCCGAGCAGACCGATCTCACAGAGACGGTACGGAGAACTGGAGACTATGGCCGACCGTCTCATGTGCTGTGCGCTGGTGCTGGCGCTTTGTCGAGTCACCGTTTCTCTCCCGGAGGTGTCGGCGCAAAATGAGGAAAAATGCGAGCAGCTCTGCGTGAAGGTAAGCGGAAGTTAGCGCCTGAGTGATGCTGATCTGGGCTTAGGCTTAGCCATAGTTCGTGGAATTGATAGGACAAGAGGCAATGTCATGTCATTAGAATTACGTGCCTTCTACATACATAATACTCCATTACTCCATTTGCTCCGAATCTGCCACACTGCAGTTATATTGAAGGTGTGAGACCGAAACGTTTTTACTGCCGCCCATCGACATGCATGACGGCTTGCGATAAATGCATACCTACCAATAAAAAATCATGAGAAATGTCTTCAATTAAGTGACAAAATGAAAATTAAGTCATCCCTTTGAACAGTACCTAAACGTAACTTCTCTCATCTTCTTACGCACTTTTTGGCCATGCTCTTGCGCAAACCTTTCGTATACCTACTGCTCGGCCCGTTTCCAGTTTCTCATGCGAGCTGTCGAACTCTCCTGATCTCCTGTTGAGCAGCCTGCCGCTCGCATTTCACTTTCCTCGTTTGGGTGTGAATCAAAGCGCATCGGACGCGCGCTGTGCACCGTATAATAGTGTGCACTGTGCAGCGTGCACCCACTGTGCACGGTGGCTGGCGATGGAGCCTAGGCGCGCCGTCACGGTGACGTACTCCGTCACATTTACCGTCACATGAACGGCTACCGTCCCCGACTTCCAGAAACAACGGGCAAGGTGTCTTGGTCTGAGTGATCGCCGCGGTGTCTCGCCGCATTCAGCGACGAACAATGTCAAACAACTGCAAACGAGACCAAACTTCTGACCATTGTATCGTCTCCGTGCAAAACATTCGATCGAATGTCACCTGCTTTAGATTACACGAGATTTGCATGACGACAGTGTGAAAAGAGCCTGTCAGTTTGACAATGGACGATGTTTGGCACTATGTACATATCCATGTCTTCTACATGAAAGAGGATCGGACGTCTATCATGTAAATGTTGACAGGTATGCCTTCGATTCTAACCACCTCGCGAGGTTGACATTGGTGTTACCGAAAACCTCGACATCGCTGTAACATGACACCACAAATTAAGCTGTCAACATCGCACACCAAGACAACGTAACGTGACGTAACGATGGCGTGTTGATCAGCACCGGTGAGAGAGAGAGAGAGAGAGAGAGAGAGAGAGAGAGAGGAGAGAGGGAGAGAGGAGAGAGAGAGAGAGAGAGAGAGAGAGAGAGAGAGAGAGAGAGAGAGGAGAGAGAGAGAGAGAGAGAGAGAGAGAGAGAGAGAGAGAGAGAGAGAGAGAGAGAGAGAGAGAGTCGTCTGCCGTCACACCACGGCCGTGCGCACGGCGGCGTATGTACATGCTCTGCTGCCGGCGCGCCCTCGATCTGACCTTGGCTCCAATAATTGGCCACATCCCCGAGTTGGTGCAACAGTTCCCCATCCCCTCCCCTCCCCTCCCCTCCCTCCCCGCCCGGTCAAACTGCCGAGCTCCGGTGACACGGAGCGGTCTTTGTTGTCTGCTCGTGTCACCGAACACCGGGGAGGAGACAACGCAGATAGCGATCACAATGGGAGTGACATTGGCTGAAATGGTGTGCGAGGGATGCTTCTCAAAGTTCATCGCGAAATGTGAGCCGTTCATGATTTGTTGGCGCATGATGCGCTTAAACAAACATTGCACATGAATTGAAGTAAATTCTTGATATGCTCATTGTTCAATGCTGACATGCACTATGAGCAGGTGCAGAAATGTTTTCAATCGGTGGGCGTACTACATATGAATATCCAAACACTTTTGTTATGAAGTTCTTTGAAGACTACATAACTTCAGCCGACTCATCCTTCCCTCAAACCTTGCTGAATGCTGAGTACCACGATCATCCTTTTGCTAATACACAGGTGCTTATTCCTGAGTCCAGACGCATCGCATTATCATTTGCGAAGGCCCGGTATTGGTAACACCTTTGTTGAATACAGCAGCAGATCCGTTGATTTCCTTGAACGGCATCATCGCATCCCATTATGGACAAACGGTAGCCGTTATGGTCAAACAGTAGCTGTTGCGGCGGATGATAAGCGAATGGGGCAGGGGACTCGTCTGCAGGCAGGTCACGGTCTCAAGGTGTCGGATCCGCCGACGGCGCCGCGGGTGGGCGGCGCGGTGACTGAGCGGTTTCCTCTGTCATATATTGACACGTCAAGGTGTTTTGAGAACGCACTTGAGGCCCGCCCATGGACCCGTCTGATCTTGGACTCTGCGATCTGCTAGATCGGGACTTGACGGTCACTCAGGTCCAGTTCGGGCGTCTAAGCTCTCTCGAGGCTCGGGGCTCGTGATCGCCAATCCCCGTTTCGACGGCGGGTCGTGTTTGGCAGCGGATATGACAGTCAGGAGCTGGTTATCGCTCGGTCAGGCGTTGGCAGTCCTCGGCGGTGGCCGTCGTGAGCCGTCTGTGTCGGTTTACGGCAGAGAATCCCTCGACATCCGTGACTGGGACAGACGCTGGCTCAGACACAGGCTCTGGCTCACGCTCGCCGACTCAGATACTTGCTCACACATTAGCTCATATAACTATACTCTGTATACTCATATATAGTATCCAGGGTATCCAGGGTATGAGCTATATAGTATATTAGCTCATATGTATATACCCTCATATACCCCATGGCTTAAACACCGCTCAAGCATGGGACAGCCCATGACGCAGCCTATGTAAACACCACTCCGACCCTCTCGAGGTGATGTCCCATCGGCCGTCGGTTAGTTCCGAGTGTTGCAAACACCCTCTTCCCCAGCGACCTTCCCGTACGAGCGCCCCATCACGACCCGCGGACCCTGTCCAAAGTGTGACAGATCGTTATCAACCGTCACGCTGGATTTGATTGCGCGCGAGATCTCGGAGAAATCAGACCGCCTTTGCTCCCAGATGTCCGTAGGTCGTGTTTTGGAACAAGGACGTGCTGAGTTTTGTAGATGTAAGCAGATAATGGTTATGATAGTGCGAGGTTAAAGTGACACAGTGTCGTCTCAGGTTTGCTCAAAATAATCACCGATCTATCTTCAGAACCGTCGAACGTTCAGTCTTGGTGACGTTCTAAGTTTTTACGTGGCTGACGTATGTTTACCATAAGTGCACTGAAATGGTTCGAAGTCGCTCTGTGTTTTAAACGTATCACTATACGCCTACGTGCGTTCTGTGCGGTCCAGCTTGTCCACTTGATTTGCTAAATCGACGTGTCGCCACCAGTGCCAAATATCTGGAGCCGCTGCGGTCAGGAACGTTCTGCACTTGGATGATAGTGTGTGTGCTAATCAGCTGGGACGTCTGGATAATCTCATCACCCACATTCAGACAGGAACCCACTCGCGAAACGGAGTCGACCGGTCTACATGCTCGGCGACAGACGGTTTACTATTTCGAAAACACGAACCGAATCGTTAAAGGGAATGGATGTTTGTTTCGTGCCTAGCGTGAGGCTGTGTATTGTGTAAGTACTTTCATGACCGACATGTGTAGGTACAGTGTAGCCAATCCATTTTTAGGGAATCCTACGCGAGGTTTCTACTTCTTATATAACTCGCGTTCGCGAGAAAGTCTCCATTCCCGTCGTACTTAGCTCTTTATTCCGTCCGTCTCACGCCGCCGCTGACCTGTTTGGTCTCCGGGGACCAGCGGCTCCTCTGTAGTCGCTCCTTGCTGAGTGGTCTCTCGCCTTGGGACCGTCGCTTGGGACACCCCAGGCTCGCTGACGACGTGCTCCAGCCACCCACCGCTGCCCGCTGCCCACCGCCGCCGCTGCGTCCTTTGCCAACAGTCAACACCACCTGTTTTTCACCGCCTGTTCAAAGCGAAGATCCTGCTGATGACTGAACTCATCAGTCTCTCCACAAGTTGTCCACGGCAGCAGTCTGAATCTGTCCACATGCCACAGTCCGTCCATACGGGAGCCGTCCACCCCCCGCCGCCGTCCCCCACGTCCGCCGGTCTCGTCTCGGCGGCGTCTCGGCGCGGCTCCCACCTGCCGCTCCAATCGGGCACCGGCGGAAGAGCGCTCATTGTTCCCCTTTATCACCCGACCTAATGACGCCGGTCGTCGCCGGATCCCGTCTGGCCGGTCCGCAAAAACGGCCGCCGATCGGGGCTGGACGGCACGGAAGCCCCTCACTCCCCGCCAGCAGTCACCGCCGCCACCCCGGCAGGTGAGCACCGGACCCGTCATTAGAGGGCACGGTCACGTGGGGGCCGTCCGTGTCACAGGAACGTGTCACGTGACTCAGCGGGGCGCCGGCCGGGGCTGGAGTGCGCCGGATGTGGCAAAAACTGAGCCGATTTATACTGTGGGGATGATATCGGCAGAATCACGGACAGCGGAGTCTCACACTTCGATCGTCACGCCGTCAAGTGGGAACAGTGATATTAGTGATATGCTGACTCAAGTCAGGCACGCACATGGGGAGGTGCAGGAGCGGCTGAGGTGTAGTGAGAGCGTTACTGCGACTGGCTGCCGGGCGGTAGTCGGGACCGAAGTCCCTCCCAGGCCGAGCGGCGCACCTGTCGAGCCGAGCGGCCGGCCGGTGTGCGTTTTACCGCTGCCGTGCCGTCGACCGGATGTCGCCGGTTGGCCTCTCTCCCTCCCTCGGCCGGAGCTGAGCGTCCGGTGTCAACAGGGAGACCGAGCCAGGCTCCGGAGTGTGTCAACACTCCCGACCGCCGCCGCGGCCGCCCCCGCCCCCGCCTCGGCCCCCGTCCCCCTTCCCTGACACCGGGGTGACGCCGCCCCCCCCCCCTCCGCCTCCGCCCTCTCCCTCGCCGCCGCTGTATGCAGATTGACCAGGTCGGTGCTGGTTTCCTGCGAGATCAGTGTCGCCCGGCCGGTGAACGACCTGTTCTCCCCTCTCAACCGTCTACCTGTGTGGTCGTGAGGAGATGGAAGGAGAGAGGGAGAAAGAGTGAGAGAGAGAGAGAGAGGAGAGAGAAGAGAGAGAGAGCGGAGAGAGAGGAGAGAGGGAGGAGAAGGAAGAGAGAGAGAGAGAGAGAGAGAGAGAGAGAGAGA